AAGCACTCAAAAAGAAGAAAAAGAAAGAAAGAAAAGTTGGAAGCACTCATCAACAATTCTCATCACCAAGCCATTCAAGTAAGCCTTTAAATTTGATTGTGGTGATAGAAGGTTGTAAAGCGACTTGTGTAAGTAACCCCTTTCATTCTCTTCTTTCTAATTTCTAAGCCACCTTTTCAATTATATTTGCTTTCCATTCCTACTAACCATTTGCAGCCGACGCTAAACAAGTAAAATTTACTCGATATAGTCTTGAGTAAAAGTTCACTAGAACTTGAGACAAGAGAATCGAGAGGAAAAAGGCTGGAGCATGTGTGAGATCAGAAGAGGACAAGTAAAAGCCATTAAAGTCCTAGAGTACAAACACGAGTGGATTGAGTGACATCAAGTTTTCTTGGAGTGACTCGTGAGGCTTTGTGAGAGTATACTCTGGTAAGGTCCTTTTACACATTTTCCATTTTTTTTATTTCACTAACAAAATTTTAATTTCTTCCATGGAGTGCGAACAACAAAGAGTGAATGCATTTCATACTTGTTGCCATGTAAGCAATGGTAAAGTATGTCTTGTAACCATTGATAGTGGAAGTTATGCAAATCTAGCTAGCACATATACGATAGAGAAGTTGGGACTTGCAACATTTAAACATCCTAAGCCATATGTTTTGCAAGGATTTAACGAAGATGAAGAGTTAAAAGTCATAGAGCAAGTACTTGTACCATTCTCAATTGGAAAATATGAAGATGAGGTCTTGTGCGATGTTGTCTCCATGAGTTCGAGCCACCTTCTTTTGGTCGACCTTGGCAGTTTGATAAACGAGCAACACATAATTGCTTCACCAATCGCTTTTCATTCATCCATAATGAAAAGAAGATTACATTGGTGCCAATGATGCCAAATCTAGTGCATGAAGACCAAACTCAACTTAAATCTCGAATAGAAGAATGGCAGAAAAGTAAAGCCATGAAGAGAGCTGAAAAAGAAGTCTTGCAAGAGCAACAAGTTCAACAACCGAAAAATCAGATTGATGTGACAAAAGTTGGAATTGATGAGTGTAGAGAAGAGAAGCAAAGTGAAGAACATATTTTAACCAACTTTTCTCTTCCATCTATTCTTCCTATTGTTTTGCAGGACAATTCAAGAGATGTATCTTTTCGGGAGGATGAATCCAGGATCATGAATTATGGAGGACTAAAGGATGTGACCTTTGAAGAACCAATAGGCGTGACTCTTTGTGATTCACAAGACATGTCTATTGATGTTTTGAGGGTTATACCATTGAATTTCCAATTAAAGGTGTCACTTGAAGTGCTAAGAAATGGAATCATTGACATCCCAAGTGCAATGCCAATTATTAGGAGAATTCAGCGACCAGCTCCAATTAAACATCCACCATGGTTTGCTAACTCTACTCATTTGTTATTAGATTTTCATTTACTAATTTTGATTTCTTTTGTAGCAATTGGATTCGTATAAGTGGTGTTGTCCAAGTAATATATGATGATAAGATCATTTTTCATTTTGAATTTGATTGGTGCATCAAATACGTCCACTTCAATGGAGATCAAAGGATAGATGATTCAAGGAGACATGGAGTTACCAGATTCGAAGCCAAGAGGTTAACATGTCGTGCAAATCATTTATTGGGGGAAAGCATGAGGAATCAATCTCTCCTACACTAAGAATGTCTTCAATAAGAAACTACTTCGATTTGAGGACAATCGCTCTAAAGAAGGGGAGGATGATACGATCCAAACTAGCTCCAATTTTCTCCATGACTTGATCGGTCTATGGACGTTTTAACTACTGCTTCTAAGGGAGTTCTTCCTTACCCTATCTTATATTATATCATTTATACATTATATTCTATCATAACCATGCATTCACATGTTAGTATAAATTATTATCTTATTATTTCTATCCTATGCTTATTTGATCATGTCTCTCATATCATTCAAATATATACTATGATTACATATCATTTCCTAGGATATTATTACATGTTTCCATTTATCATTTATCATGAATACCATGTTATATGATATTCATGCATACAACATATTCACATCTTATGATTGATACACATTGTTATTTAATATGTTAAGCATGTTAGGATAGTTTTATTATCATATAAGCATGATTATTATATATACATCAAGGCAGCATACTTATATGCATTTCATTAGTTTATTTGCATTCATATTAACTCTTAGGCTTTATACATTATCTTACACATATTAGGAGATGATGTACTTAGCTCATGACCATCATACTTAGCTCACATTACCATAAACAAACATGGCAGCAAGATATTTAGCTCGTTTTAGCTCAATATCATGAACTTACCTTGTTTCCTTGCACATATAGGTACAATGGAGTGTGATGCACGTTGAGGTAGCTTGGTGAATGATTTGGACGTCATATATAGCTCACAAACAGCTCACAAAGTACAAGGCAGCTCATGGAATGCTAAGGGAAGCTCGATTCAGCTGGAGAAGCTTCAGGCTAGCTAAACTTAGCTAGTTGGACTATTTGAAGCTGAGTTGCTAAAAGTGATGACAAAGGTAGCTGAATGTAGCTGAACATGCTGTTATGGAGCTCAAAAGGACTCGGCTAGGAAGATCATTCACAAACAGCCCATACTTGCTAAGCTAGTTCCACACTCAAGCTAGCTTGGAAGGAGACACATGCACGCCCAAGATGGATCACATGACCAGCCATCATTCCATGCGCAAGGCTACACCACAAGCATCCTAGAGAGGCCATGTGCACGCCTTGTGACCAGACCACCATGTGATAGGCGTGTGACTTCATTTAGGCGCCAAGATGAAGAGTCCTCTTACCATTCGGCCAAACACTCCTTTCTCTCCAATTTGGCGCTAACTTGAAGGGGTACAAGCACTATTCGGCCAAAGGATATTTTCCTCCATTTAAACCGAACCATCATCTCTATTTGTAATTAAATTATGTCATTTTATAGAGGCACAAGGGCTGGTCGAATCCTCTTGTAACTATTCAGCCATATTCTTCCATTTCCTATAAATAGGAAAGCATATTTCATTTGTAGGCACACCTTTTTATTCAATTAAAGTGAGATTATTCTCTTCTTAAGTCCTGGTGACTTTTTATCGACTTATCAAGTATTTTATACTTATGGCGTCAACCCCTTCCTTTCATCTTGATACTTCTGGTTCCTAGTTTATATAACTAGTGGGTCAAAGTACTTAACACCATCCCTTGAAGAAACAATATAAAGATTGGGTCTCTGCTCTATATATCATTGGTTCTTCTTTGAGATCTCTTCAAGATACTATCCTCACAACCATCCTTTTATTTCATCACCATAACCATAGCCTTATCAACTATCTTCCGCTTCCATTACTCATTATTTAAATAGCCTACCAATTCACCCATACGTCTACCACCCTTAACCATTCTATTTTGAGCCATTCACTTTGCAGGTTGTTTTGCTTCCTTCCTAGATCCATAATCATTTGAAAAGGTACAAGTACCTTACATCAGAATATGTCGCTGTTACGGAAGCTAGCAAGGAGATGGTTTGGCTCTAAAGTTTCTTGGAAGAGTTAGGCAAGAAACAAGATAACAATGTCTTGTATTGCGACAGTCAAAGTGCTATACATCTAGCAAAGAATCCGTCTTTTCATTCCAAGACAAAGCACATACAATTGCGATATCATTTTATCTGGTCTCTTCTGGAAGATGGGATTTTGAAACTTGAAAAGATCAGTGGAGCTCAAAATCCGGCAGACATGTTGACAAAGACGGTGACTACAGACAAACTGAAGTTGTGTTCAACTTCAGTTGATATGCTAGAGTAACAAGACTCGAAAAGCTGTTGCATTGATCGAGGTGTGAAGACAGATTAAAATCAGTCTTCAAGTGGGAGATTGTTGAAAGTATTAAAATGGTTTTCAAGTTTGGTAACCAACTTTGAAAAAATGATTTTCAAAGTTTGGTAAATGTTTCTTTGAAAATGGTTTTCAAAGTTTGGTAAATGTTTCTTTGAAAAATAATTTTTCAAAGTTTAGTAGATGTTTGTTAAAAAATGATAATGAGATAATCACAATTAATACCTAGGCTTTATGGTATTTACAAGATTAAGTTCTTAAGTTTCAACTTTAAATACCCTAGCTCATTTAGCTTCAAAACCATTCCAAAAACCATTTCTTTCTCCCAATACTAGAGAGCTTTCTTGTGAGTAGTGAGTGTTTTGTAAACACCTGTAAATTTTCTCTCTTAGTAAAAGATCTGCAGCAGTCCGGAAACGTAAGCACAATTGGCTGAACTCCGTTATCAATTTCGTATTCTCACTAATCTGGTAATAGGGAAATTACTTGTACTTGGTTTATTTCCTAACAATTTCCATATGTAATGAGGTAAGGGGAGGTAGGATAGTAGGCTGCCCCCAACGCTAGGTTGAGAGTAATTTCCGTAGAAGACCTCCGGCAATTATGAATTGCCTACTATGGGATTCGATCCCACAACCACAAGGTTAAGAGCCTTGCGCTCAACCAACTGAGCTGGATGGGCAATTCCCTGCATCCACAAAATAATATCTAAAAAAGGTTTAGACAACTCTTGATTAAGGACCACCGCAAGTTAAAAATTAAAATGTATGTTTGAATTCAGATCCTATCTTAAGCAAATGTATGTTTGAATTCAAAACGTTTACGTTTTTAAGAATTTTATTCTTAGTATTTACAGAGTAGAAAAACAAAACGTTAAATACTCATTAATGTGCAATTAGACACTTATGCACTGAAATACAAATTTAGATAAAAAGCTCTCTCAAATTTTTTGTAAAATAAATATATTAAATGAATTGTATTTGAATACAAAAGAGATAAATCTATTTAAGCTATGAAAATCTTAAATTTTAATTAAAGATAAAAATAGATATAGTTTTTAAATTTTTTTAAAGATTGTATGTCCAAAATTCAATAATCGATTGATTTAAATAATTTTTTAATGAAAATTGATAGATAAAGTTAAAACAATCATATACATAATTTTTCTTACACTGCTGTCTGCTACTGCTTATATAAACTTATAGGCCCCGGCGATACTCCAGTTGCTTGGTATTCTCCAGTAATACCTGCAAAACAAAGCAATTAATACTTCAACTGATGTTGCTAGGCATGATCATCGTGCAAATCATGGACAAGAAAATTTCAGGTACTTCGAAAGAAATGAAGGACTCGGCATATAAAAGAAAGCTACCTTACTTCTCTAATGTAGTTTGCTACAGCCTTGCAGCCTTCGATTGCGAGTCCCATCACATTTTCGAAGATATCCATGGGTAATTTAGCATCCATCTGTATCAAAGTAGTGGTACTCATTGCCTTGAAACTATCTATCAACTAGTTTTTAAGAATTAAACAATCTTCGATGTTTAATACAAATCATTTTGCCCAGTCTATAGTCTTAAGTAAACCAAAGGGTAAGTTACAGTACGGGGAAAGCGCAAGATAGGCAAAGTGAAAGTCTCACTCATTTTATACTAAATGAAAATGAACTGTGGGTTGTTGAATTGCACTCCCGTATGTAACGAAAAACAACTATATTGCAACATCAACGTATATTGCCACAGGAAAAAAAAAAAGGAAGCCCGAGATATCTTTCGAGATAAAAGTCTAAAAATGTGAATGAAAAATCGTAGTTCATTGCAGACCTGAAGAAGAGTCACTTTATCGAACTTAGGCACCATCCCTACAGTGACATCGGCGCCTACAGCACTGTCTTCAATGTAGTTCAAATCTACATATACCACAGACATTAATTTAATTGTTCAAATGGAAATAAAGAGAGAAATTAATACTAGTGTTAGAGGAAGAATTGACCAAGCAGAGGAGTGCTATTTAAATACCCAGCACTACAAGAAGTGACAATATCACGCATGGGGATCCCGGCATCTGCAAGGGCTAAAGTTGCAGCATTGATACATGCGGATCTAGTTCCTGCATACACATTTAATCTGCTACTTATGCTTCTTTTTTTTCTTTTATACCAAAATAAACAAGTAACAGAATAAACGGGTGCATAAACAACTAGCGATTAAGCAAGAGTGCACATATTTATTAATTTTTAAAAGAAAGAGCAGCGTAATTCGGTGAAAATAGAATCAAAACACAAAACACCGTGGATTCATGAAACCGAGCCATTAAAAATGATGTTTTTGATCAGAGTGGAGCATAAAGTTGCAGTTGCATGATATGAAATGTAAATCGAATCAACTAGGAGTTTGGAAAAGTTTCAATTTTACCTCCATCAGCTTGAACAAATATATCTATCTGGGAAAAGATATTAATTAAAAAAGATTCAGAAGAACTGAAAGGCAACCGCAATTGGGGTATAATGGGGATTTGATTCAAACCTGAGAACGAGGCATTAGATGAGTCAAAATGCATGCCTCCATGGTTTGGCGGATGACAAGAGATATCTCGGTTGACCGCCTGTGTTAAGAAAGAAAAAATTCAAGTCAATGAGCAATATAATTTATTCTCCATAAACCTAACATTTGCCAACTATATCATGCATATACTTTGAAATGCTAATAACTTGGTTTGAAGGATACCACCATTGATCATATAAAAGGGATTAAAATAAACTACTAACTACGAGAAAGCCTTTACAAATACTAAAACCTACATAATTACTTGTCCTGATCCAGTGTTCCACAAACAAATCAGACTCTCTATTTCATCAAATGGATCAAAAAATACTTGGTGATTATGTCAAACAGATAATCCTCCAACAGTATCCTAATCAATTACCATTAGCACAAATGAACAACACAACTTTAACATCATTCTAAGAATGAATTTAATTGGAAAATAGATCACCTGTCACCCTTGGTTTTCTCATGCGATCTACGGTACTGAAATTAGCCATACTATATTCACAGCGCACCTGGTGTTCATCACATAAAAGAAACCCAAAGATTCTATTAAGTCACAACTACGAAAATTAGACATATAACTCTAAGAACATTACCAGTGCCTGGTCATTAAGCTGTTGGCTCCTATTTTGCACCTGGAAAACATAAGACTGCATTTATCAACTATAACAAACCCACATCGAATTAAATAGCTATCCAAATTCAGAAAACAAAAGAAGACAAAGTAAACATAAACAATTTGAAGACGCTATGAAAGTAAACGGTAACCTCTCTAGGGCCGTACACTGCTGCAATGACTTTGGTGTTGCCATCTCAAAAACAGCAGAACTGAATATTCAAAATCGAAGGAAACAAAAGGGAGTTATTTCAGATATAATAGAAATGGTGCTAGGTGAAACGAGTTGTAAAGGAGGCGCCTACCCATTAGCCTTGGAGACGGATCCCTGCACGAAGTTGTCTCATCTGAGAAGGAGATGGAAATTCAAAAGAAAGAAAGGGTCTAAGAATTAAAATAAAAATGAAGAGAGAAAAAGAAGATTACTTCCATGGGACGGCGACCGTCCCACCGGAGACCTTCGGGGCTCACGAATTCCATCTTCGCCTACAACAACTCAATTGCTGATGAGCTCTTCCTCTAGATTGATTAAAACCTCCAGGGTTTTAGCTGTGGTGACTCACTGGAACCTCGCTTTGCGGGTTTGGGCCTAATAGAGTAAACCTAATCCCAGCAACTCATTGGCTCACATAAGGGAACGAATGGCATGATTATTATATTTTTTTCTTCTTCTCGCTCTAGTTATCATTATATCAACTCTAAATTTTAAATCTTAATCTTAGATTTTATATTTAAAATCTGAAAATTGATATAAATTATAAACTCAAACCCAAAACACAAGAAAATATTTATTTAGTAATGTTTAAATAAAGTTATTAGTCCACTGTTTCTCTTTTACCTAGTTATGAAATGTTCCCTGTGTCATGGAGTTGGTGCAATTGGCTATGTTAGTATTCTTAGTTTCAGATAGAATTCTTACACGTGAAACTACATGAACAAACTTTGTTTTGGTCCCTGGGTATCATTAGCAACAATGCCATCGTTCTTGCAACAACTATCCATCCACAATCCATTCTCAAATATCTTTTTTTTTGAAATAGGGTACTTTTCCATTCTCAAATATCTGAGTTCTGTTTATTGAAATTTATCAATGCTGATGGGATTGCTTGGTCTGTAGGGGTTCATCAATTTTATTTCCAGGAGGCCCCGGCATTTGTTGCAAATTTTGGAGCTTGGGCTTGGCTTTAGTGTAATGTATAATGATGTTGATATGGTGTGGTTAGGCCATTTTGAAGGAAATCATGATGTTTACTTCTCTGGTGACATGACTGCAGTATGTATGCTAAACTTTGCGATTTCTTTATGACCTGTTTGATTTAAACATAGCTTAGTTTGATATTTGTTAGACCAGAGGACATGTCTTTTAATAAGTGAATCTTACTAATATTTCTGATAGTGATGCTTGGTTTTCTGGTGATACATTCTGCAGGTGGATATTTACCTGCTTCCCCCAAACTAACCTTCACCGATAAAAAAAATATAGAAAGAATGAAAAACAAACGGATGATTCTGCTATTCCAGAAACCCTAACTCCAGGGTTGCATGCAAAGTGAAAAGGCGGGAAACGTTGGAATTGGAGGGACGCGAGACGATTGGGGTGCATGCGAGAGAGAGAGAGAGAATTGGGTTTCGTGGAATATGGTAATCCCCCCGGATGGTAAGAGGGGGGTTGTGGGGCTTAAATATTTAGTATTGGAATCGGAGATGTAATTTTATCTATTTTATATAGGACATTACTTGATTGATGAGTTTTGTAAAAATTTGTTTATATAATTTTATCTATTTTTTAAAACTTTTATCATAAAAAATATTTGAACAAAAATATATATGCTCTATATGTCATAGATAAAAATATTATCATAAATATATATCAAGTCAAACAACATTAATAACTATAGACGTTAATATAGTTTTAACTTTAATAATTCAATAAGAAAAACTAAAATTTTCTAAATTTTATTAAAACTAACAGTCAATTAATTTAAGTTTTAAATTATTCATTACCCACAAATATCACATTAATAAGTTTATTGGTGGTTGGAATAGTACTTCATCTCCAATTTAAAAAGTTGTTAACTTTAGATTTCGATATGTATGTTATTTTAATAATTTATTGGTCAAAGAATTACAAATATTTTAATAAATTTTAGTCAAAATCAATATGCTGACATGGCGAGCGGCACAAGTGCTACAGAGCTTGTCCTTCCTCTCCTCCCCTCTCTCTCTTCCTCCGGTGACGTATATATTACCAGTCCGTGTGTGAATTACTAATATCACATGCTGTGACAGTTCTCATTCTCACCAGCAAATCAAATCTCATCATTGTGGGTAGGTATCCAATGCAAAAGAAACGTGAACCACACAAGGGTCAATAGAGCGTGAGACAAGTTTTTATTTTTTGAGGACACGTGTCATTCGGAAGGAGACGCAGCGAATCGTTCGATTGTAACCATCTCAATTCTATAATCCATATACATTATTATTAATAATTAATTTAAAAACGAAATAAACTCTATTCTAATAAAGTGTCGTATTCAAGATACTCCTATAAAACAGCCAGCGATTCTTGTCATTTTGACTCTCCTTAGCAACTGAAACTCTCCTGTTTATCACTGGTCTCTCGCTCTTTACTCTCCAACAATTTGCTTTCAAAATATTTTTTCTTTATAGATTTTTACATTTTTTTCTAAAACCCAGTTTTGGAGATGAAGCCAAGTAGTCGGTTTCCGGTGGAATATACAGAGCAAAAAACTGTAATTAGCAAAGTGGTCAAGCCGTCGAGCCAGTTGTTTCCGATGGAATCCAAAGCTAAAGCCCCTAAAATCGTCAGGATTTGTGTCACCGATTGGGATGCCACGGATTCTTCTAGCGACGAATGTGAACGGGCGAGACATCATAAGGTGATAAGGCATATAAACGAAATCAGGATCGAGGGTTGTTCCGCTGTCAAATCCTCCAAGCCGGCAAACAAGCAAAGCAGGCAGATATTTAATAAAATCAATCAGGTAAATATGAGACCAAAGAAGCAGCAGCAGTGTTTATCAAACGGCGTCAAGTATCGTGGCGTTCGACAAAGACCGTGGGGGAGATGGGCGGCCGAGATCAGAGACCCTACGACTCGAACCAGGGTCTGGCTCGGTACTTACGATACTGCTGAGGAAGCTGCTTTGGAGTATGATCGACACGCGATTCAGATCAAAGGCCCTGATGCTCTCACAAACTTTGCGAAACCTCCGGCGAGACCTTCTACACTGGTGCTTGATCTCGAAATGAATTCCGGTTATGACTCGGCTCAAGACTCCCAGTCCCGCCGTTCACCTACATCAGTTCTCAGATTCCACTCCAACGAACAACCTCAACTCCAAACGGACTCCAAAGATGTTTCTTCGGAGCGCATCGAAAGTCTGTGGAAACCCCTTGACGAACTCCAAATAGATCAGGGTAACTTATCGGATGAACATTTGTTAGCAGATCCGGGTGTTTTATGTGATCACTTCAATGCTGATAATCTCGAACCTATATTGTTTGATGAAATGATGTTACCAGAAGACCGTTTGGAACTTGATTATGCTGATATTTCTGTAAAATTAGATGTTGATTTCGGGTCTTGTACGTGGGATGTCGATAATTATTATTAAAACCAGCGTAATTCTGCGCTGAAGTCTTGGAATTATATGGTAAATACATGATAAATTCCGAGTGGAATTTTGGATACATTTTCCCAGTTTTCTTTTAGTGTGCAAGGAAATGGGAAGAAAAATGTAAATTCTTGAGTTCTTTTTTGTGCATGACTTGTCTTCTTTTTTTAATTGAGTCAGTTCGGTGTGCGTTTCATTTGGCATGTTTCTTTAGTTGTGTGCCACATGTCAACAATGACACGTTTCATAATTTGATTGGAAGATGGAATTTATTTTAATTTGTTAAAATTAAGACCAATTTAAAAGAATATAAAATATATTTTATTCTTATTTTAAATTAAAAATATATTTTATTGTTATCTTAACTTTTAAAAATATATTTAAACATCTTAACTTCAAAATATATTTAACTTAAGAATAAAATATATTTTAAGTTAATATATTTTTAAAACATTTTATAAAAGTTAAAATAAGAATAAAATATACTTTTAATTTAAAATAAGAATAAAATATATTTTTAATTTAAAATAAAATATATATTTTTATATTAAAATAATTATAAAATATTTTAAGCTAAAACATTTTAAATAGTATGTTTTTAAGTGATGATAAAGATTATATATATATATATATATATATATATATATATATATATTTGTACATTAAAATAAAAAATGTATTTAATAAGTTAAGACAAAATTAAAATATATTTAATAAGTTTAAAAAATAAAAGGATATTTTTAAAATTTAAGATATACAAAATATTATTAGTTTTGGATAAAGCATTTACATACTATGATACAATATTTATATCTTTTGTTATCTAAAATATAACAATTGGTTGTCTTGGCTCAATGGTTTGGCTCTTGTTATTTCATCCCAATGATCCAAAGTTCAATTCCTCTTGATTGAATGATGTCATATATCACCCTTTGATTGGAGATAAAAATAAATCTATTAAAATTAAATTTTATCCTCCAATTGAATAATGACACGTGGCACCTGTTGATTTGAGGGTTAAATTTATTTTAATTTATTAAAATTACGACCAAGTTAAAATAATATATAAGTAACAAGACCTATTATGTAATTATACCAATATATTTTAACTGTCAGAGTTTGATTCCCCTTGATCATCTTCTGTCGCTGGTTTATTTTTTTTCTAGAGGGTGACACGTGTAAATATATTAAATTAAAAAAATCATCCTTTAATCGAATCATAACACGTGGCACCACCTGATTCGATGGTTAATTTTATTTTAATTTATAAAAATTAGGTCCAAGTTAAAAGAATATATAATTAACAGGACAAATTGTGTAATTATACCAATACATTTAAACTGTCACGTCACCTATTCCGTTAAATGATAACAGTAGGTGGCTTGATTGAAACATTTAAATAATCAGGTGGTTTAATTGATCAAATCAAAATATCATTGGCCATAATGATTCCTGACCATAGTTGAGTAGTCACTCGTGTAATTTACCCTGGATTTAAAAGGTATAAGAGTTGAAAAATACGAAATTATATAAAATTGTAGGATTAAATTAAAAAGTTATTATAAAAAAAAGAATTGAAACTATATAAATATTCTATAATGTTTAAGAATGTGGGTTAAATTTGAAAAAAAATCAACATGAAAAATAAAAAAATATTAATAAAAAATTATTT